GGTGCGATGCCGAGCTTCCTTGTCTTCGCCGGTACCGTTCCTCGCCCCGTAATCACGTTGTATTATTCCGCTTTATCTGCTCGCGCTTTACTCGCTCGATCGATCTTCGCAATCTCGCGCGGCTCGCTCCGGGCCCGAAGAGAATTCGTCTTTTAAACGAGCAGTCGATCGATTTTTAACTCAACCGCATCATTAAGAGAAGGAAAGAAGCGCATGCCACCGCGTCGCCCCGAAAACGTATCGATCCCCGGCAAATTCAGCGATCGGCAGAGAAAATTCGCATTGCTCCACAATCTCGGTACCGCTAGGCGCTCAGGCACCGACACCGTACCCGGAATTGATTCGCGCGGATCAGCGCCGTGTCGAAATTACGGCAAATGGAACGGATTCTGCAGTCGCGATCTTCGATACACGGAACGGCAGGAGTCATTATCTTCATCATCATTCCGGCACGCGTGATCTCGCGCCGCTTCTCCCACGTAATCCCTCTCCCACGTAAATTGTTCCCGATGCGTTGTTGCACCAGCTGGTTTGCGTTGATACCGGAGTTAAATTCGATACAATTCGACTCCGCGCGAGCTGCAATTAGCCTCCGTTAGCTCCCGCGGACGGACCGACGATCACGGTTATCTTTGTTAAATTATCCCCGACGCAAATTGGCAGAAACGCGAGCAACATTCGAGGCAAATGCGTAAAATTGCGCGATTGAATCCCACATCTGTAGATTTCTGCATACGTTTTTAAAAATATATTAACATAGTCAAGCAAAATAGTTTTCTAAACGCTCCGATAAACTTAATAATTTTATACGAGGATGTATAAAAATAAGAAGTTTCACGTCTAAGCAATATTGTTACGTAAAAATACACATAACACATAAAATATTATGAGAAGTTAACAAGTTATATACTCTCTAAAAGTCAATCAATGGATTATCGCTTAAAGCAATGAATGTTCATTGATTCACAGTTGTAACGTAAACTGATTGACTTTTAGAGAGTGCGTTTTATTTAACGCGAAGAGAATTTTTGGCAGCAGATGTGCGAACCCGATGGATCTTGCGAACGGTCGAGACTAAATAGTATCTCGGTCGCTATGTAGAGCAAAAAGCGAACTCGACCAGTTTCTGCCCGAGAACTACCGCCGTATCGACCAGTGCAACGCGATATTTATGAATCGGCAGCTATTCATTTGGTCCGCGGAAAGGATTGACAAGTGAGCATTACGGGCATTAGAAGAGGGGCGTGGACGGCAGCGTCTATCGCAGGATACGTCGCCCGACGAAGGATAATACCAGCTCCCGAACTGAGCCAGATGCGTGCAGCGACCGGGATGCGTAACGAACAGGCTGAAAAAAAGACGTTTCTCGCGAGAGCGAATATCTGTTTTTTCCCTTTGCAGGATCCAGGGATCCCGTATCCCTCAGCGCGGCCTCGGCGATCCCTAAGTAAATTAATGTCTTCGAAGGACTTCGTGCTTCGGAGCTGTTAATAACAGCATCGCGTCGAGAAAATTAAGCGGTTTATTTGAGATTAATTATGGCTTCCCGGTCCAGCCTGCATACGTTCGCTTCGCGTTGACAACCCTTCATTCATTTATATTCTTCTGGCTAGAATTCATTGTACTACATTGTTTCTCGTTGTGCGGGATTTTTAGGGTAAATTTTACATCTGAGAGAATAATTTTATATTATAACAAATTAATTTCTTATATAAGAGCATAAGAAGGAACGCGACGATGAATTCGCTTTGAATCTTGTGTCGTGTACGCGACACAAAATTTTTTATGTAATAAAATATTCGGCATATCTTTACAATAATAATAATATGTTTCATTAATTTGCAGTAGTGTGAGAGAAATTGATTCGGTTGTTAAAAACGTCACTGTGAAATTTTTCTCGAGAGACAATGGCGCATGAAATTGGCCTTGAAAAATGTTTCTGCGGCAAGCACCGCCGTCTCGAAGCGAGTTTAATAATTCAAATGTTCCTGCGGGCGTATTTGTATGTAAATTTAAAGTAATACAAGAGAACAAGAGGTCTCTGCAGCATCGATCAAACGAGCATACTCGAAGATGAGGCGGTTTCTTAAATGACTTGATGCTGAATGAAGGGGAAAAATCGAGTTGCCGATTTTTCGAACAAACGAATTCGATGAAGAATGTAAAGCGAATCGACAAATAATAAAATCTTTACTATGAAAAAGTTATCTAAATGCGCTGGAAACTAGACAGTCTATAATAGTCTAATGCTATCACGAGTTTCACAAGTCACTAATAAATTTTACAAATACGCCAAACTGTTTCTTCTCCCTCGTGTAATAGACCCAAGGCCTGTTTTCCAGTTCGTGCTGGTACTCGGAGCATTTTTTATTTTCACTTCATCTTCGATATTACTTTATAAAGTCTACTAAAATACTAAAATATATTTTATTAAGTCCTATCGACTTCTGAGGTAGTCTGTGTGTTATCTTAAAAGAAGAGTCACTTATAGAAAACATTGTGTGTAACGAGACAGTTTTGCGTATTTGTAAAATTTATTAGTGACTTGCGAAACTCGTGATAACATTCGAGCGACAATGCATAGCCGCGCGTAGCGGCGGATGTCGGAGGGGGAGTTTAAGATTCGAGAGGATGCCACGGGGATCCGCCGCTTCGGACGTGCATTCACAAGTAAATTAGCTGCATCATTGTCTGCGCGGACGGGCGAGAGGAAAGGGGAAAAATATCGGCTGAATGTAAATATGATAAAAATCCACGCGTCATCCGGTTGACGAGAATCGAAGAATGCTCCTCGAGGCGTCGCGATGCGTCGACGTGACGACGGGCTCTCTTATACGCGGCTTTGCAAAATCATCCTTCGATATCGAACGCATAAGCCGCTTATCGATCGGTTCGTCCGGTATTAAAAAACCGTCACTTCTGGCCCCTTCATCGACACCTCCCTTGATTTCAAGCGTATCCCTATAATATAAACAGCATGTGTGATTACAAGCGATGGTAACAATTGATTAATGTTTGTTGCGAATTTTTCAATTTCTTTTAGTTAGAATATTTCTTTTATGGATTTACGTTTATGAAAAATTTATTATTCACTCCTTTCTATGTTAATATTTGATAGAATTCGACAATGTTTTAAATGTGCAAATTGCAAATCGTATTGCAAAGGGATCAATATCCACATTATGCTAAAAACATTGCACATCTCCCGAGTTGAAATTTTTGCACCATTCGTCGTCGTTACATTTATCCGAGCAAATTTCTAGCTCGCTGCGGGTTTTAGGGGTGTAACTGAGATCTCAGGACGCAGTGAAAATAATTTCCGCCTGGCAGCTGCCTCACCTGAGGATTATTCTCCGATATAACGTAATTAGACCACCTGCGGTGGGAATGCGTCGCGTGCGCGCCGCATTCTCTACTCTTCTTCGTTTCCTTGCGTCTTTGTTTCTTCCTTCGCGACTCTTTGCATCGTACGACGCAACGGCGATTCACCCGACTCAATTTGTGTATGAATGAACGCGCATTAGCCTCACAATCTTGACAAAAGCAAAGAGACTTGACCACCTGGTGCAAGGATCACCAGGGGTATCACGCGGAAGCGCGATAAAACACGTGGATTCGCAGGTTTCGCGGTAGAGAAGCGAATGTACAGTTAGTCGCGGTAAATTTTATATCTATAATGTGACACTGAAATATTGCTAATGAATTTAATAATACGGAGTCGTTACAAGTGACCATTGATTTAATCAATTCAATTTTTAGGAATATAGTTACATGAATATCAATAACGTCAGCTTCGATAACTCCTAGATTCTCATCGATGATTTGAAAGCGATGTTACGTGCGTCCTAAAAATTGCTCGTAATTAATATAATACAACTCGTAATCGATATTTATCCGACGACGATGATTGGTAGCCGATCCGCGATCTGCTTCACGGCAGATCATGCGTGAGAGCTGCCCGTCACTGAATCGATCTTGTTCGACGGAATTATATTACCATCTGCCATCCCCTAATTATTCTTGATAATTGACGCGATTATTGCTTGTCAAGAATCACTCCCGCGTTCGCACGGTAAGAAAATCGCTGGAAAAAGGCATCCGGTCGATCGATCAAGTATGCAATTATTTCCTCGATCCAACGTCTCGATCATGTACTTTGCCCCCGTCCATCGGCATAGCTGATTAATTAACGTTAATTACGCCAGTTATGGCAGCGACGACTTCATCCGCCCTGACTGCTTGTCCGAACATGTCGCCTGCGAAGACTATGAATATCTTCGCTTGATTATCTGACCTTGGCAGAATAACATTTTTATTTTAGAATATCTATATGCATATAATTAATTAGCGTCTTATATAAAGATGAAACGCGTAAATATTTCACATAATTTGTATACCTAATAAGACTTACAGTTAGGAAAAATTCGTTTTTATGTTTTTAAGCTGTTTTTCGGCCGCAAAGGAATTCTTTTGTAAAAATGTTAAAGAATTAACAACAACATTATTTTAATTATTATAATCTTCGATTTGAAAATATGGCATTTTCTATCCAATATATATCGTTTCCTTTCCATTCAAGAAAATTATTCTTAAATAATAAGCATATATTTTTCTCGATCAAATTACATAAAATCTATTCAAGTTTTTGTTTCTTTAACGCAATATAATCTCATTTCAAGATTTGCACGTTGAGACAAAACCGAGGGGTAAACCGCTGAGGGCATTGTGGTGTACAGGTTTGCGGCATTACTGGGCATTTTTTGGGCCTTAGTTTGGGCATTAAGCATTTTGCTGGGGCATTATAAAGATAAAACAAGATAAATGAAATAAAATAAGATAAAGTAATGCCCACTGGGCATTAGTAGGCATAGGTGTACATGATTTTGGTCAGCGGTTTACCCCTCGGATTAAAATATTTTCAAAAGAAGAATATTCTTTTTCTCTGTGTGCACATTTTACATTCTTTGTACACAATATCTGTAATGTTCCTCTTCTTCTAGGTTTCACTGGAACTCAATGCGAGATCGACATAGACGAGTGCGCGCTGAGGCCGTGCATGAACGGCGGTACCTGCAGCGATCTCGTCAACGCCTTCAGGTGCACCTGCGCCGAGGGTTTCACCGGCGCCCACTGCCAGATCAACATCGACGACTGCATCTCGTCGCCGTGCAAGAACGGCGGCACTTGCCAGGACGGTATCGCGAGGTACACGTGCGAGTGCCCGGCCGGCTTCACCGGCGACTCCTGCGAGACCAACATCAACGACTGCGCCTCGAATCCGTGTCGCAGCGGTACCTGCATCGACGGTGAGAACAGCTTCACCTGCAATTGTTCCCCCGGCTTCACCGGCAAGCTGTGCCAGACGCAGATCGACGAGTGCGAGAGCAATCCGTGTCAATACGGCGGTAGATGCGAGGACCGCATCGACGGTTACCTGTGCGTCTGTCGACCGGGCACGTCCGGCGAGAATTGCGAGGTGAACGTTAACGAGTGCTACAGTAATCCTTGCCGAAACGGGGCCAGATGTATCGACGGTATCAACAGGTAAGCTTGAAGAAACATACGTTGCATTTGCTCGTCGAATCCGACATCTTTTTAAGCCTTGTATCGACGATCCGAGAACTGTGTCCAAGTTCTAGGTCCGAGAAATGTGTAGCTAATCAACTTTTATGGAAAGCTGCAATAAGTTGATTGGCTATGCATCTCTCGAAACTAGAACTTGGACCAAGTTCTAGCATTCTAAGGCTGTCTTAAGAGTATAAGACAGCCATTCTGCTCAGGCTCCAAGTTTGCTGCACAAAACGCATATAGTTGTCTCCACTACTTATCATAGCAATGTGGGTATGACAATCACAGATACAGCTGTCCCAAAGATTACTATTTATTGGGGTTGTGCCAATCCTAATTAAACATGTGGTAACCATTTCGATCTCTCCGTGTAGCAAATACAACTGTGTGAATTTATGTTTGTGGCAGCCCGTGACATCAACGTTTGATTCAAGCAACTTCATTTTTTTACAATTCGACAGCATCATTTTTCCGGATTGATAATGGAACAGTTCGAGCGCGAATGCAATCTGACAAAGATCTTTTGGCCGCGCCGCCAACGCTCTCTTTTATTTTTTTTCCCCCAATAGATACGATGTCTCGTGTTTCAGGTACTCCTGCGAATGCGAGCCCGGCTTCACTGGCCAACACTGCGAGACCGACATAAACGAGTGCGCGAGCAATCCATGTGCGAACGGCGGCCGTTGCATCGACGTGATAAACGGTTTCAAATGCGAGTGCCCGCGCGGCTACTACGACGCCAGGTGTCTGAGCGACGTGGACGAGTGCGCGAGCTCGCCCTGCCTGAACAGCGGCACTTGCGAGGACGGGGTGAACCAGTTCATCTGCCACTGCCTGCCCGGTTACGGTGGCAAGAGGTGCGAGGCCGACATCGACGAGTGCGGCTCGAACCCCTGCCAGCACGGTGGCACGTGCAACGACCATCTGAACGGTTACAGCTGCAAGTGTCTGCCCGGTTACGCCGGTACCAATTGCGAGACCAACATCGACGACTGCGCCAACAACCCCTGCCAGAACGGCGGGTCCTGCATCGATCTCGTTAACGACTACAAATGCGTCTGCGAGCTGCCCCACACCGGCAGGAATTGCGAGGACAAGCTGGACCCCTGCTCGCCGAACAAGTACGATTTTTCCTTCCGAAATTCATTTGCATGAGGATACGTGGATGTCGCGCGTATGCATAGCGTGTGTACTCCTTGTACTCCATTGAGAGTACAACTTGCAGAGTATTTAAAAATTATGCATCAAGTATTGTAGAACTGATTGTATACGGGGAATTTCAGATTTCAAATTGTAAAGCTTAGGATATTCTTTTGAAAAGAAAAACTTTAAAGAAAAAATGCATATTTTGAATCACTTTTTAACACATGATGTACAATACCCTCGTCACAAATTGCAATTGACCTGTGCAAAAAATCAGTATTGTACATCAGTTTTTATTTATGTTATTGTGAGATTTCGTATAACTCCTTAAGCTCCCGTTTCTTCACGGCAATTGAATTACGACTGCGGCGAAGAACAGGAGTCGGGGCTTCGTTTAATTCCGATAAAACGTATCCACGCGGATGATCCGCATGATAGAACGACTTTATAACGTTGCTGTGTCATTTCCAGATGTCTTCACGGGGCGAAATGCTCGCCATCGTCGAACTTCCTCGACTTCGCGTGTACGTGCACGGTCGGTTACACGGGCAGGCTGTGCGACGAGGACGTGGACGAGTGCGTGATGACGTCGCCGTGCAGAAACGGTGCCACTTGCCGGAACACAAACGGCTCTTACCATTGCGTGTGCGCGAAGGGCTACGAGGGCCGTGATTGCATCATCAATACCGATGACTGTGCATCATGTGAGTACGAACCGCCACTGGCTGTTCTTTGCTTTCTTTTCCTTGCCTGCTACAGATGCGGATCTTCTTTCGCTTTCATTTAAGAGTCTCGACGCGAGTCTATAGAGCGTCATCTGTTTTATCGCGCGATGGCACGGATTAAATTAAACGCATTTAATAAACATCGCCGTGCGACACTCAAGAAGAATCGTTCTCTCCCATGTTCACAGTTCCCTGTCAGAATGGCGGCACCTGTCTGGACGGCATCGGTGATTACACGTGTCTCTGCGTGGACGGTTTCAGTGGCAAGCACTGCGAGGTTGACATCGACGAATGCCTGTCGCAGCCCTGCCAGAACGGTGCCGTTTGCAAGGAATACGTCAATTCCTACACGTGTCAGTGTCAGCTCGGCTTCTCCGGCATTAATTGTCAAACCAACGACGAAGACTGTACCGACAGTAGTTGCATGAACGGCGGCACGTGTATCGACGGCATCAACAACTACACGTGCGTCTGCAAGACCGGCTACACGGGCTCGAATTGCCAATATCGTATCAACGAGTGCGACAGCTCGCCCTGCCAGAACGGTGCTACCTGTCACGATCACATACAGTACTACACATGCCACTGCCCATACGGTTACACGGGTAAGCAGTGCGACAAGTATGTGGACTGGTGCGCCGAGAATCCGTGCGAGAACCAGGCAACGTGCGTGCAGCACATGAACAAGTATCACTGCAACTGCTCGCCCGGGTGGACCGGCAAAGTGTGCGACGTGGAGATGGTCTCGTGCAAGGACGCCGCCATACGGAAAGGCGTGCCGGAGAACAGCCTTTGCAACAACGGCACCTGCGAAAATATAGGCAACAGTCATCGTTGCCACTGCCTGGACGGTTACACCGGCTCCTACTGTCAGGAGGAGATAGACGAGTGCGACTCGGCGCCGTGTCAGAACGGCGCGACCTGCAAGGACCTCATCGGCTCGTACCAGTGTCTGTGCACCGAGGGCTTCCAGGGGCAGAACTGCGAGCTCAATATCGACGACTGCCGGCCGAATCCCTGCCAGAACGGCGGCACTTGTCACGATCTGATCAACAAATTCACGTGCTCCTGCCCATCCGGCACTCTCGGCTTCATATGCGAGATCAACATCGATGACTGCATGATGAGCGCTTGCCACAATAACGGCACCTGCACCGACAAAGTGGGTGGCTTCGAATGCAAGTGCCCGCCCGGTTTCGTCGGGCCGAGATGCGAGGGCGATATCAACGAGTGCCTGTCGAATCCGTGCACCTCGCCCGGTACGCAGGACTGCGTGCAATTGGTCAACAATTATCACTGCAACTGCAAACCCGGATACATGGGCCGTCACTGCGAGATCAAAGTGAATTTCTGCGACAGCGCTCCGTGTCAGAACGGTGGCTTTTGCACAGCCAAGCACGACCGACACGTTTGCTTGTGTCCTGGCAATTTTCATGGCACCAATTGCGAATTCATAGGTTCCTATTGCCACTCCGAACCGTGTCAGAACGGCGGGACGTGCCGCGTCATCGGGAATAGCTATCAGTGTTACTGCTTGCCAGGTACGACCGGCACGCATTGCGAGTTCGACGCTTGGAACGACTGCGAGAGGCATCCGTGTCAGCAAGGCGCCCCTTGCATAAACAAGATCAATGACTACGCCTGCGACTGTCCTGCCACGTGGTCCGGCAAGAATTGCGACATCTACGACGCGGGTTTTCCTGGCGGAATATTCGGCACAGATAACAAGACCCTCATCGACCTTTATTTGGAGCGCGAGCGTCAGAACTGTATCGAGAATAACTGTGCGGCCAAGTCTCGCAATGACCGCTGCGACGAGGAGTGCAATCGACCCGCGTGCAACTTCGACGGCAAGGATTGCTCGTTGGGCATCAATCCGTGGCGCAACTGTACCGCGTCCATAGATTGCTGGAAGGTATTCATGAACGGCAAGTGCGACGAAGAGTGCAACAATCAGCAGTGCCTCTTCGACGGCAGAGACTGTGATCGGAAACTCCCGCCTTGCAAGTGAGTATAAGCTAAATTTCTTTCCATAACTAAACGTTATGTTTAGAAAAGTGGTAGATTCCGACTGTTTCGAGGTAAAGCTGAGAGTATTAATGATAATTCGAAAATCGGCGCGTCACCCGAGGGACGTGGTTGAACTTTTAAATTTGCCAATTATTATTAGTACAACACGTTCTGAATGTTTTGATACGTTCTTTATTCTCTTCATGGATATATTAAGTAAAAGATTCCGACCGATTGTTTAGTTATATTTGTAGCATCTTTATTTATTCTACCATTTGCTTCTTGCAGCCCAATCTACGATGCATACTGCAGAAAGCATTACGCTAACGGCCATTGCGATTACGGCTGCAACAACGAGGAGTGTAGCTGGGACGGTATGGATTGCGAGAAGGAGCCGCCGTCATTAGCGGAAGGTGTCATATCCATAACCGTGAGACTGGACATGGAAACGTTCCGTTCGAACCTCGCAGGCTTTTTACGCGACATGGGCTATCATTTAAGAACGACGCTTCGCATTAAACAGGATGAACTCGGTAACGAAATGATATTTCCTTGGAAGCCCGATCACAAGAAGTATCCTAACTTCTTCAACCGGCCGATTCCCACTCATAAGAAAGGCGTGGTCGCTTATCTGGAGATCGACAATCGCAAATGCACGAGCACGGTATGTTTTTCATCGGCGAACGAGGCCGCCGAGTACCTGGCCGCCACGGCGTTAAAGCACACACTGTCGCGGAACTTCCCCATCGAACAAGTGCGAAGTGTCATAGGTCCTCAGCACACGGACTCTTCCGAGCCGCCGAATTATAAGTACGTTTTCATCGGCGTGGTCATCGTGGTGCTCGGCGGGCTGCTAGTGGGAGTCCTGGTGACCGCACAGCGGAAGCGTGCCGTCGGGGTCACCTGGTTCCCCGAGGGCTTCTTAAGAACCAGCAGCGGCAGTGGCCAACGACGCCGGTCACGCCGGCGCGGTCCGGACGGCCAGGAGATGCGTAACTTGAACAAGCAGCCGTCGGTGAATTGCATGAGCATGGACGTCGTGAACGCCCGAATACAGTCCCAGTGGTCTGACGACGAGTCCGATCTGCCGCCGTCGAAGCGGATGCGTGCCATCGAGCCGGGTTACGCGAGCGATCATACCGTCATCACGGACTACGAGGAGACCGAGCCGCGTATGTGGACGCAGCAACATCTGGACGCGGCCGAGATACGACGGCCGGACGCGGGTGGTGTGCTGACGCCGCCCAGCCTCGAGCACGGCCAGGACGTGGACGCGCGTGGTCCATGCGGCATGACGCCGTTGATGGTGGCGGCGGTGCGTGGCGGCGGACTCGACACCGGCGAAGAAGAGGACGAGAGTGACGGCACCGCCGCGGTGATCGCTGATCTGGTCGCCCAAGGAGCGGATCTGAACGCCACCACGGACAAGAGTGGCGAGACGTCGCTGCATCTGGCCGCGCGTTACGCCCGGGCTGATGCAGCCAAGAGGCTGTTGGACGCGGGCGCCGATGCTAATTCGCAGGACAACACCGGCCGCACGCCGCTGCATTCTGCTGTCGCGGCTGATGCTATGGGAGTGTTCCAGATTTTGCTTCGCAATCGGGCGACAAATTTGAACGCACGAATGCACGACGGCACCACGCCGCTAATACTAGCGGCGCGTTTGGCCACCGAGGGAATGGTGGAGGACCTCATTAACGCTGATGCCGACATCAATGCCGCCGACAACAGTGGCAAGACCGCGCTGCACTGGGCCGCGGCGGTCAACAACGTTGATGCTGTGAACATTTTGTTGGTGCACGGTGCCAACAGAGACGCTCAAGATGATAAGGACGAAACCCCGTTGTTTTTGGCCGCCCGCGAGGGCAGCTTCGAAGCGTGCAAAGCATTGTTGGATACGTTTGCCAATAGGGAGATTACCGATCACATGGATCGGTTACCTCGCGACGTTGCGAGCGAGAGACTGCATCATGACATTGTCAGACTACTTGACGAGCATATGCCGAGGTCGCCGCAGATGGTTACAGTCATTCCGAATGGTCCTCTCATGGGTAAGCGTTTTTATAACATTTTTATGATATGCGTAAGTGCCACAAAGCGTTCCACTTTTGAGGAAAAATTTTTCATATTTTAATTATGATCTTATATACATACACATTATATATATGAAGAGTTAGAATTATTAAACAGCATTGGAAGTGGAAACGTGCACTATTAACAAATCAGTCTTTTGAATAATATTGTTATGTGACACAATTGTCTCTTTTGCAGGATCTTCAAATCATCCACAATTAATCACGCACCCTACGGTAATCGGTTCAGCGCCGAAGCAAACCAAGTCAAAGAAACGGCCAAAGGCAGGTGCGGGAAACCCAAACAGTCCGGAGTCAGAGGGCAGCGGCGCGGTCGTGATGGTAAGGCGAAAGCCGTCAGTGAAGAAGCAGCCGGCTAAACCGCGCGGCGCTCAGCCCCCAAACCAGGAGATCCCGCAGGGCGCGGAAGGCGCCGACGGCAATCTGCCCACTAGCCCGTACGATAGCGCGAGCCTTTATAGTAATGCATTACCCCTGGTCGCCCACACCGCGACGGCGAAACAGCCGCCACCGTACGAGGATTGCATCAAGAGTCAATCGATGCAAGGTCTGCAACAACTTGGCCTAGATACCTTTACGAGCAACTACGGGCTGCCATTTCACGACCAGCTCTTAGCGCCGCATCAGCGGCAGCAGCAAGGCATGGTAAACACATTGTCGCCGCCGTACAGCAATCAGTCGCCGCCACACTCGGTGCAGTCCAACATGACCCTTTCTCCGCAAGCGAGCTACATGGGCTCGCCGTCGCCGGCGAAGAACAGGCCGTCGCTGCCTACATCGCCAACTCATATCGCTGCCATGCGACAGGCGACGCATCAGAAACACGGCAGCATGCCGCCAGTGGGATTTGACTTCGACAATTTACCGTATTCTTCGAGCCAGCAACAACAACAACAGCAGCAGCAGCAGCAGCAAATGCAGCAAACGCAGCAGCAGATCCAGCAGCAGCAACAGCAGCAGCAGCAACAACAACAGCAGCAGCAGCAGCAGCAACCGCAGCCACAGCAGAGCACGCAGCAGCAACAACAGCAGCAGCAGCAACAACAACAGACGCAGCAATACTACCAGTACTTGACGCCGCCGTCCCATCATTCCGGACCGGACGTTACACCACAGCATCTCATGCAAGCGCCCGAGAGTTTCCCAACGCCATCGCCAGATAGCCCTGGCCACTGGTCCTCGAGCTCGCCGCGTTCGAATAGCGACTGGTCCGACTGCATGGCCTCGCCTACGAACGCTTACGGTGCCAGCGGAGGTGCTCACCAAAGCAACAAGGGCTCTGAGGCGATCTACATATAAGGCCGATAGCAATGGTACTTTCTTCCTAGCGCAAAATAAACCATGAAAAGAAAAGAAAGTAGAAAGTTATACATGAACTGTGATTAGCTCGGTCAATTCGAGCGTCTAGATGTTGAAAGGGACGAAAAAAATGCAACGCTGACAACGAAGAGCTCTTCCGTAATAAATCAGTGGCAAGAAGGTATTTTTATTTTTTGTTTTGTTCATTTGTGTGTGTATGTGTGTGTATCGGAAGAGCTATTTACGGTAAAACACATTCTCACCGCGATTATTGTACATTAATAGGTATCAGTGTTGGGAATAAATTATTCGTGGAGATAGAAGCAGTTACATATTTGTTAATTCTTATGTATCATTCATTTAAATGTAAATTCACCTTTTAATTATTATGTTTATTATATAATTAGGCTGCCAAATTTTTATCTAACACTGATGCGTATATAGACAAACGAATATGTAAATTACGTGTAAGCGGGAGGTTTTCAATCAGAGATATTATAAAGCTGACGCTAGGATGTTCGTAGTTCAAGATTCGCAGTTCGCTGTTCGTATGAAATTGGTGGATAGTATGAATGAGCGGATTTGACGAACTTATCATTTGCTATATGTGCCGACTCAACAGTAAAATGATTAAAAATTATAATTAAGAGACGTTAAATCGTCACGAATTCGTATTGGTTCGTGTGTACATTATATAAACAATGGATTCGTTATATCGTACATAATAATAAGGAAACTTGATTTTTCGATAGCCAACACATTTCTATGAATCTACTACGAATCGTGAATGGCGAGGGACGAATCACGAGTTGCGCATAATCCGGCACTAGCATTAAGTCTGATCTACAATGTGCTCTTTGCGTCTAGAAACAGTCTGTTTTATATTTTATAGCCTGTTTTATAGCCAACAAATACGTTTAGAAAATCTGTGCAAATTGATAAATTGTACAGTATGGCTGCTTTCCTTTTAGAGAACACAGTCGATATTATTAACACAAATCGACACGTGTCGCTTTCCATTTAGAATTTAATTCAAACTAAATCGATACTTTTCGACTCTGCTTGGAAAAAGGGTCAGAGTGTGTTTTTAACCGAAGAACTCATCTGCCCCGAGTATTTCAATAGAATATTTTTTCGACAAAACCTTTTCTTAAAATCTTGTTCGGGCTTATACAAAATAGAATGTCTCTAATCGCAAAAAAAAACATTGTAAATTAGACTTTAGACGTACTCAAATAACAAACCGATTGTGCCTCTCTGATACGACGTAATATTTAGGAAAGTTGCGACAGGGGAATCGCACAATTTATAAAAAGTAGTTGATAATGGCCTTCCAGACGAATGTTTATAGCGGAATTATATAACGAATTGCGCAAAGAGAAATTGACTAATTATGTATTTATATATGTATTTGTAGTATATTTTTGATACTCTATCGAGTTTTATTGTCACGGCGTCATACACGGCTCAATGAATAAACGGTGCCTTCGACTTGCCAATGTGAAGACCTCTGATGGACAATAATAAGTAAGGAAACGAGACCTTACTACTCTATAACAATTGTACATATCGCAATAGATGTATCATTCGCGCTGCTGTGTCTGTTATTCCACGGAGACAACTACATGTAGCATATATAACGTGCAGTACTTTATTTAATTTAATCACATGTGGACTTCCCCCTCAGTTTTCTCTCCCCTCATTACATTTTTTGGGTTGACCGTTTCTTTCGAACGCCTAACGGTGCGACAACTACTAATCTATTCTCGCTAAACACAGACGTAATACGAACGAGAAATGAGTCATGAATTGTGCCTTCGAATTCCGTAGAGTATAGGACACGCAGATTCTGTAGCTGGACCTATTATTAAATTATATTGGAAGAAACGCAGCGTTTCCAAATGGCTCTAAACGTTTATCACTAGTTAATATAATTGAGATGCCAGCTTATACTGGCAGCATGTAATGTAATGTAATTAATTGTAATTTAATGTAACGTAACTTAACATAAGGCGAAGAGACAACGTTTATAATCTGTACGGTTGACGGGAGCTTCAGAGAACTTGTCCTTTACAGCTCGCGGAGCATCGTTCCATACATAGACATTCCATTGCGTATGGCGCGCCAACAATTTCTTTTCCTTCCTCTCGTTCCCTTCTCCTCTCCCAACCTTTTCTCGACTCGCGCTATTAAGCTCTTCGGAAAATCATCCACTAAACAAGCTAGCGTAATCGTTAATGTTAATCTCTAGGTGTATCGATCGCCTTAAATTAAGTACTCGGCGCGGAGCGGTGGGACGGTTCTCTGATCTCTTTTCTGCCAAAGCCAAAACAGCATTTTTAATGTAATCATACGTTTAGGGTGCGTGCGAACGTAATGAATAATCACGACGCATTATTATAAAGATTGTTGCAAGATAGAAATAAAGATAGGTAGATAAAGAGAAGAAATGTGCGTGCGTTCTTGAATGTATATCTGTGTGTGCGCGTATGTGTCAGTGTGCATGTGTGCGAGACGAGAATTAACTATTGTTGCGGGCTGAAGAAAGTTCGTGCGCGCGCTTTTGCAATATATTGCCAGTGATACACGTTTTCGTATGTTACACGAAGAATATTGCTGGTATCATCGATACGATCTATTTTGTGAAATCGTCGAGAATGGTTCTGTTTTAATCTTATATTGAAAGATGAAATGTAAATGTAAATACTCCTTCATCTTTTCTATCAGCTCATCTCTTACTGTTTAAGTACTTTTATATAATTGTCTTTTCTCTCCTGAATTTTTGTACAAACTGTTTTTACATATTTTTTTTATATACTACGTGTAAGTTTAGCCGTATTGCTGTACTTCCGTAAGACGTACTGCATAAAATAATCATGTCTCCTTCATCATATTATTATATCACATATAACGTATTTTATATCGTATGCAGTTTGCTGTTGCGTCAAGGATCGTCGTGTGAATACAGTCCTTGATGCAATTCTGGATTACATACAACGGTGTAACGGAGCTTTTCTCCAGTCGTTGAGCATATTATGGGTCCAACGCAATTTCAACGCTTGCTTTATGAACGATACACCTTTCAGAGAGAGAATATTTTTCTACTTGTTCGTGTTTTCATAATAAAATTATACATCTCTAGGAAGAACTGCCCCGCATATCATCGAAATTATGTGGATTCTATCAACAATAAAAATGAGAGTATAGACAAAAAGAATATTTTCTGTATAGAGAAATAAGTATTTTAAGAAGACTATACAAAACTATATACACGTATGAACGTTATACACACGCATACATATATACATATATATGAATATATGTATGTATGTACATACACGCATACATTCATATATATACTCATACGTATTCTCCTACAATACCGTGTCACAAGTGAAATGATCAATCGCACAAAAGTGCAACTAAGAGTACAATTTTAAAAGAATAACGAAATCCAGATAGTATTGAATAAAGATCTGCAATTGATTCGTTTGTTAAAAGAAAGTTAGCAATATGTAGATATTATGCGCGATGTAAATTGTTGAGCAAGCACAAAATTATTTTACCGTGTGTTTAAAATTTAACAGCAACTGCTCTCTGATGCACCATCATTCTGTGTTAAAAGAAACGATATAACTCTAAGCATTATATTATAATAATTTACAATTATTTACAATAGGATAGACGACAGACCGATTATTACGCTAGATTTTGTTATTCCTTGTAACTTGTAAAAAGTACTGAGTTTTATTAATATTAACTAAGCGAACTAAGGATTTGTTCGGTCCTATTATATTTTATCCCGCTGCCCGCTCTCCCATATTTTTATAAATAAGTTATGTCTTTTAAACACAAATGTAATAATAAAGATAATCTAACATCCATAATGGGTTGTTCTTTTTTTCATGCTGACTGTTATATCAATATAGTAGTATAATAATAATAATTGTAACGATGCCCCCGAAAAGCATCTTTCCCCGGCCGAACAACCGCTGGATGCCGTCTGACCGATCATCCGTCAGGCGAGAAACGGGCGCGGTGCGCCCATATTACCCCAGCGGTGGGTATCAGCGTCGACAAAACTCGACTGAGACAGAGTACACTATACCCCCAGGTTCCTGGTACCTGGTTCCAAATTGGACCTAACATTCGTCGCTCCTGGCCGTACAGTCTGATGATCATTTTGACCAGAGATCAGGAAGGAAGAAAACTCCTTCCATAGTCGGTTTATTATCGTCACCGACAAATATTTCGTACGGTTCGAGCTATGTGCGAGCGTCGATCATATCGAAATGCACGACCACGAGAAGTTAATTAAAGAAGAAAATTAATTAAAAAATTTGTATAAAACTAATCGAATATATTTTCACTTTCGTTATTTATTCGAGAATAGATAATGACTGTCTCTTCGTAACTCAATCTTTAAATTCAAAATTCAAGTATTTATGTATACATATATTCATGCGAAACGCATCTTGAAAATGTATCGCGAGATACACATACAAAATAAATGACGTGAGATGCAGAGAAAAGAAACTTTCCATACGACAGATAGACTGACAATTGAATATTCTAGTTAATCAATAATCTC